TATAGCAATAAGTGCCCACATGAGAAGCAAGGAGAGATCAAAAATTGACACCCTATCGTCAAAACTGAAAGAGCTAGAGGAGCAAGATCAAAAAAACTCAAAGTCTAGCAAAAGACAAGAAATAGCTAAGATCAGAGCAGAACTGAAGGAGATAGAGACACAAAAAACCCTTCAAAAAATCAATAAATCCAGGAGCTGGTTTTTTGAAAAGATCAACAAAATAGACAGACCACTAGCCAGATTAATAAAAAAGAAAACAGAGAATAACCAAATTGACGCAATAAAAAACGATAAAGGGGATATCACCACAGATTCCACAGAAATTCAAACCATCATCAGAGATTATTACACTCTATGCACATCAACTAGTAAACCTGGAAGAAATGGATAAATTCCTGGACACTTGCCTCCTCTCAAGCCTAAACCAGGAAGAAGCTGAAATCCTGAACAGACCCATGACAAAATCTGAAGTTGAGGCAGCAATTAAGAGCTTACCACCCAAAAAAAGCCCAGATCCAGACGAGTTCACAGTCGAATTCTACCAGACATACAAAGAGGAGCTGGTACCATTCCTTCTGAAACTATTCCAAACAATACAAAAAGAGGGAATTCTTCCCAAATCATTTCATGAGACCAACATCATCCTGATTCCAAAACCCAGCAGAGACTCAACAAGAAAAGAAAACTTCAGGCCAATATCCATGATGAACATAGATGCAAAAATCTTCAATAAAATACTGACAAGCTGATTGCAACAGCACATCAAAAAGCTTATCCACCATGATCAAGTAGGCTTCATCCCAGGGATGCAAGGCTGGTTCAACATACGCAAGTCTATAAACGTAATTCACCACATAAACATAACCAAAGACAAAAACCACATGAGTATCTCAATTGATGCAGAGAAGGCCTTTGACAAAATTCAACAGCCCTTTATGCTAAAAACACTCAATAAGCTAGGTATTGAAGGAACGTATCTCAAAATAATAAAAGCTATTTATAACAAACCAACAGCCAATATCATACTGAATGGGCAAAAACTGGAAGCATTCCCCTTGAAATGTGGCATCAGACAAGGATGCCCTCTCACCACTCCTATTCAATATAGTATTAGAAGTTTAGCCAGAGCAATCAGGCAAGTAAAAGAAATAAAGGGCATTCAAATAGGAAAGGAGGAAGTCAAATTGTCTCTATTTGCAGACGACATGATTGTATATCTAGAAGACCCCATCGTCTCAGCCCCAAATCTCCTGAAACTGATAAGCAACTTCAGCAAAGTCTCAGGATACAAAATCAACGTGCAAAAATCACATGCATTCCTATACACCAGTAACAGACTTAAAGAGAGCCAAATCAAGAACAAACTTCCATTCACAATTGCCACAAAGAGAATAAAATACCTAGGAATACAACTAACAAGGAACGTAAAGGACCTCTTCAAGGAGAACTACAAACCACTCCTCAGCGAAATAAGAGAGGACACAAACAGATGGAGAAACATTCCATGTTCATGGTTAGGAAGAATCAACATCGTGAAAATGGCCATACTGCCCACAGTAATTTACAGTCAAGCTACCAATGACCTTCTTTGCAGAACTGGAAAATATCACCTTAAACTTCATATGGAACCAAAAGAGAGCCCGCATAGCCAAGTCAATTCTAAGCAAAAAGAACAAAGTGGGAGGCATCACACTACCGGACTTCAAACTATAGTACAAGGCTACAGTAATCAAAACAACATGGTACTGGTACCAAAACAGAGATATAGACCAATGGAACAGAACAGAGGTCTCGGAGGCAACACAACATATCTACAACCATCTGATCTTTGACAAACCTGACAAAAACAAGCAACGGGAAAAGGATTCCCTGTTCAATAAATGGTGTTGGGAAAGCTGGCTAGCCATGTGCAGAAAGCAGAAACTGGACCCCTTCCTGACACCTTACACTAAAATTAACTCCAGATGGATTAAAGACTTAAACATAAGACCTAACACCATAAAAACCCTAGAAGAAAATGTAGGCAAAACCATTCAGGACATAGGTGTAGGCAAGGACTTCATGACCAAAACACCAAAAGCATTGACAACAAAAGCCAAAATAGACAAATGGGACCTAATCAAACTCCAAAGATTCTGCACAGCAAAAGAAACAGTCATTAGAGCAAATCGGCAACCAACAGAATGGGAAAAAATTTTTGCAGTTTACCCATCTGACAAAGGGCTGTTATCCAGAATTTATAAAGAACTAAAATAGATTTACAAGAAAAAAACTAACAAGCCCATTCAAAAGTGGGCGAAGGATATGAACAGACACTTTACAAAAGAAGACATACATGAGGCCAACAAACATATGAAAAAATGCTCATCATCACTGGTCATCAGAGAAATGCAAATCAAAACTACATTGAGATGCCATCTCATGCCAGTTAGAATGGCGATCATTAAAAAATCTGGAGACAACAGATGCTGGAGAGGATGTGGAGAAATAGGAACAATTTTGCACTGTTGGTGGGAGTGTAAAATGGTTCAACCATTGTGGAAGACAGTGTGGCGATTCCTCAAGGACCTAGAAATAGAAATTCCATTTGACCCAGCAATCCCATTACTGGGTATATATCCAAAGGATTACAAATCGTTCTACTATAAGGACACGTGCACACAAATGTTCATTGTAGCACTGTTTACAATAGCAAAGACCTGGAACCAACCCAAATGCCCATCGACGATAGACTGGATAGGGAAAATGCGGCACATATACACCATGGAATATTATGCAGCCATCAAAAACGATGAGTTTGTGTCCTTTGTAGGGACATGGATGAACATGGAAACCATCATTCTCAGCAAACTGACAGAAGAGCAGAAGATCAAACATCACATGTTCTCACTCATAGGCGGGTGTTGAATGATGAGAACACAGGGACACAGGGAGGGGAGCACTACACACTGGGGTCAGTTGGGGGGAAATAGGGGAGGGACGGTGGGGGGTGGGGAGCTGGGGAGAGATAGCAAGGGGAGAGATGCCAGATGTAGGTGATGGGGAGGAAGGCAGCAAATCACACTGCCACGTGTGTACCTATGCAACAATCTTGCCAGTTCTTCACATGTACCCCAAAACCTAAAATGCAATAAAATGGGAAAATAAAATATTTCCAATTTTTAAAATTTAAAAAAAAAAAACAACTCTGAAAAAAAATGTTTAAAAGGAGAGAAAGTTAGACTTCAGAAATTATAAACATGTATGTTAGAATATAATTCTGGGAATGTTAAAAATATAATACAACATTGTTATAAATATAACCTGTGGGGGTGCTATAGACTAAACGTTTCATTTATGAAAATTTTATTCATTCAAAAATATGTGTTAAGTAACAAATACCCCCATGAAACTTAAATTTTTAGTGGGGAATGGTGGGTATAGGTAATAATTGAATATATGCAGAAGTGTAAAACAGGTTAAATATTACAGTATGCATCTAATATTTAACAATATTAGATGGCATACAATTCATAGGGCAAGGGATACAATTTGTAGGGAAAGTCTCTCTAATAAGATGACTTTTGAGAGGAGATTTTTTAGAAAGAGTGGGACATGGGAGGACGTAAAGGAAAAATAATTCAGGGAGTGGAAAGTGCAAGTTCAATGGTTCTGTGGTAGGAGGGTGCTTGGTGAATTCACAAAACAGGAATGAGGTCCATGTGGCTGGCGTGGAGACAGAGAGGAAGTTGGCATCTGAGCAGAACGGAGGCTCTGATTATGTGGGACCTGTAGGCCACCGTAGGAACTTAGCTTTTTATAGTATTAAATCAAGCTAAGCCTAAGGCTACCTCATTACATATTTTAAGTTCGGCCTGAAGGTTTCTCTGTACATTATGAACTATAACCTAAATGGACTTGTAGACAGACCATAGCCTACTCTTGTGCCAGTCATCAAGTTTTGGCCAATCAATGGTGGCCAACTGTTCAAACTGTGTTCCACTATGGCAAATGCCAAGCTGTAATCAATCCTGCTGTTTCTGTACCTTCCATTTTCCGTACATCACTTTCCTTTTTCTGTCCCCAAATCTTCCACCACATGGCTGCACTGGAGTGTCTGAGCCTGCTCTGGCTCTGGAGGCTGCCCAATTCATGAATTGTTCTTTGCTCAATTAAACTCTGTTAAACTTAATTTGGATAAGGTTTTTCTTTTAACAATAGCGAGCGAGTTCAGAGGCCCTGAAAGGTTTAAACAGGGGAATGACAGGCTCTACATTATATCTTATCAAGATTGCTACTGTTGCTTTGTGAAAAATTGAGTAAGAGACTTGGGAGGCACAGAGAGCAGATAAAAAGGCTTCTGTAATAATCCAAGCCAACTATGCCCCCTTTCCTCTCCCTTCATGGCAGAGTGCTAGGCTTGTTTGTGTTAATATTCTCCTTATCAAGCAGAGTGCCTGGCATAATAATGATGGTTGCATGAAACCTTTGGCAATAGCAAATAAACTGCAGTCATTCACTGACACCTTAAAAGGAACCATGCGTTTGTCTATATTAAAAACACAGTCTGTGATAAGAGTCATTGCTTCACAGGTGAAAGAAGGAATGCAAATGGAAAGAGGCTCTATTTCAAACCTGAGATCACCAGAAGATCTGCTTTGCCTGCTGCAGGTTTCCTTAAAACCCATAAGCAAATCCTGTTCTCTTCTCCACCCACACAGGTCCAGATGGGCATGCAAAACTGAATTTGGGAAACTGAAGCTATGTTTTGTTTGCACCACTGATGCTGTGCTGTGGCCCTCTGGGAAGGCCATTGTACAGGAACACCTGGATTTATTAATCCTGCATCACCCAAAAGATAGAACCATTAGTCTTCCACCCTACGATGAGCTCTTATATGTATCCAAGAGATGTTCTAGAGAAACAACATCCCTCTAAGATTCCTGCCAGAACTTTTATGCACTCACTTCGGGATAGATCTAGGGAAAGGGCTGGATGCTTTGTGAAGGAAGGGATTCTGGCTTGGAATGTACATTTACCTTTCTGCACTGGGTGGCATCTAGGCCTTCAGATTAGCCAACTAGAGAACATTAGCCAAGTAGAGAAGATTAGCCAGCTAGAGAAGAGACATCATGTTGATTCTAACTTCTATCTCCACTGTGTCCTATGAAGTCAAAAGTACATTTCTGTTTATTTCAGTCCTGGAGTTTGCAGTGGGGTTTCTGACCAATGCCTTCATTTTCTTGGTGAATTTTTGGGACATAGTGAAGAGGCAGCCACTGAACGACTGTGATCGTGTGCTGCTGTGTCGCAGCATCAGCCGGCTTTTCCTGCATGGACTGCTGTTCCTGAGTGCCGTCCAGCTTACCCACTTCCAGAAGATGAAAGAGCCACTGAACCACAGCTACCAAGCCATCATCATGCTGTGGATGATTGACCAAGCCAACCTCTGGCTCGCCACCTGCCTCAGCCTCCTCTACTGCTCTAAGCTCATCCGTTTCTCTCACACCTTCCTGATCTGCTTGGCAAGATGGGTCTCCAGGAAGATCTCCCACATGCTCCTGGGTATTATCCTTTGCTCCTGCATCTGCACCGTCATCTGTGTTTGGGACTTTTTTAGCAGACTTCACTTCACAGTCACAACTGTGCTATTCATGAATAACAATACAAGACTCAACTGGCAGATTACAGATCTCAACTTATTTTATTCCTTTCTCATCTGCTATCTGTGGTCTGTCCCTCCTTTCCTATTGTTTCTGGTTTCTTCTTGGATGCTGACTGTCTCCCTGGGAAGGCACATGAGGACAATGAAGGTCCATACCAGAGACTCTCGTGACCCCAGCCTGGAGGCCCACATTAAAGCCCTCAAATCTCTTGTTTCCTTTTTCTGCTTTTTTGTGATGTCATTCTGTGCTGCCCTCATCTCAGTGCCCCTACTGTTTCTGTGGCGCAACAAAATAGGTACGATGGTTTGTGTTGGAATAATGGCAGCTTGTCCCTCTGGCCATGCAGCCATCCTGATCTCAGGCAATGCCAAGTTGAGGAGAGCTGTGACAACTGTTCTGCTGTGGGCTCAGAGCAGCCTGAAGGTAAGGGCTGACCACAAGGCAGATCCCAGGACACTGTGCTGAGAACAGACATGAAATGAGCTCTTCATTCAGACGCCTGACAGTCTTCATGAACATGCCTCTGATTCCTCAGAAATACAACTCTGATTCCTCACTAAGCCTCCCGATTTCTTCTGCAAAACATAACTGAAAGTCTCTCTAGTTTGTATCAATTAATTCACTTATAGCTGAATAAAATAATTATGCACTATACATGGCCTAGGCAAGAATAATGTTGTTGGTGTCCCAGGTTTATTTTCTTAAAATGAACAAAATATTTAGGTGAGGTATTCAGTGTAAATCCTTTATATACTATAGCTTATTATTGGTATGAATCAAACCATGAGAAATCACCTCTTCTAAAATAATATCCAAATCCCAAGATAATATGTTTGGCTTTTAACATGACTGCTAAACCTCTTTCTCAGGACTGACGCTAGCATCATATTTGGAAATACTCACTACTACAAGAAGTATATAATCCTCTTCAAACTCCACAATTTTCATGGAAACAAAGACAAACTTGGAAAAAAATTATGTCATAATTTCAGATTCAAGAGGTACCACATAACTTCAGCTACAAGAAGACAGAGGTCATTTTGTCTGAAAATACACTGATTCAGAAAATGCACTTTGACCTACTTTATAATGATGGAAGAGCAGCAGATCTGCTCAGTAGGTGACCTGAATGCCAGTAGGTGCCTGTGTGGGCTTTCTGACTATGCCCACTTTGCCTTTGAAGATGATGCTTTGCCTAATACCAAGTATTGATCTCTCTAGTTGGGTACCCTACTAAAATCGCCTAGCTGAAAGATATGTTTGTAGAGATTCAGCCTTCTCTGTCACTTTGCACAGGAACCCAGCCAGGAAGTCTTTCCTCAAATCAGGTACGGAAAGACTCAGGAGAAAACAAGATATGCCAGACATTTAAATCTTGATAGGCTTCACAGCGGTAAGAGCTCACCACCAAGGCTCTTAGTTCTGTCAGCTGTGGGGCCAGAGAACTGCTTCCTCCTCTCAGGCACTTGTTCTTAATCTAATACTTCATCTCAGTTTTCCTCCAAAATTTAGCCATTTCTTCACCTCCAGTGGCTACAAAATATGCAGCTTCATTTGGCTTCCTTCCCTTTGTGTACATTGAAGTTGTCTTAGGCTTCCCTCAAAGACATAGGTCCTCGCTCTCGGCTGCACATTGAAATTACCTAAGAGGCTTTTAAAAAAAATCTCAACGTCCCAGCCAAATATGGCCAATAAAATCAAGTCTCTCGAGACAAAATGAGGTTTCTTTTTCTTTAATGGTCCTCAGGTGATTTCAGGGTGCAGCCAATGTTGAGATCCACTGTTCTAGATGCCCTGTTGGTGTAGAGGTGGAGCATCTTTTCATATGCTTATTGGTATGGCTTTAACATTACATTTTTGAGGTTCACCCATAATATTATGAGTCACTGCTTGCTTATCTACTCCCTATTGCTGAACATTTGCATTGCCTACAGTGTGGGGATACTGTGAATAAAGTTTCTATACATATTCTTGAAGAATTCATTTCTCTCTAGGCAGTTTCATTTCCCAGGTAAATACCTAGGAGTGAAATTACTGTGTCATAAAGTTTATATTTATTTAACTTTATAAAAGCTGTTCAAGAGTTTTCCAAAGTGATTCTAACATGTTATGCTCCCCTCAATAATGTAGGAGAGCTGTTCCACATTCTCATCAACGTTTGGTGTTGTCAGTCTTTTTAATTTTGGCCATTCTAGTGAGAAATGAAATGGTATCTCATTGTGGTTTCCATTTGCATTTGTCTTCTAACTAATGATATGGAGCACAATTTTGTGTGCTTCTTGGCTATTTGTATTTCTTTTATTATAAAGTAACTATTTGTTTGCCCATTTTATATTGAGTTATCTTTTTATTGATTTGTAAGAGTATTGATTTGTAGCGTTTGTGTATGTGTGATCATATATATATATGTATTCTTACACAACTCATATATATCCACAACTGTTTCATATTAAGTTGTCTTATTGATTTGTAATTTGATTCATGTGTGTATATATATACACACACACACACAAATATACATATATGTATATGTGTGAAAATATATAACATATACACTCTGTATACAAGTCCTTTGTCTGACATATGTATTGTGAATATTTTGACCTAGACTGTGGTTTTCCTTTTCATTTTTTAATAGTATGCTCATAAGCAGAAATTATGACTTTGAATAAAAGCTAGTGTCATTTTTTTCTACAATGCTTGTGCTTTTTCTGTCTGCTCTAAGGAATATCTGCCTGCCTCTGACATGCAAAAATAGTCTCTATGATTTTCTCTAGAATTTTCATCATTTTTACTTTTCTATTTGAGAATATAATTCATCTTAAATTTTTATGTGTAGTATTAAGTAGGTCTGAACTTTGCTGTTTTCATATGTCTATCTAAGTATTCCAATATCATTTATTGAAGACTTTTATTTTCTAATTTAATTGATGAACTCTTGTCGAAAATCATATGACTATATATGCATGAATCTTTTTCTGGTTTCTATACTGTGTTCCATTGATCTATTTGTTCAAACTTTAACCAATATCTCACTTTTTGATTATGGTAGATTACTGGTAAGTTTTAAAATATTCAAAAATATTCAGTCTGAAAACCTACAAACATATCTCTTTATTTTTTGTCTTCAGTTTATCTCAGCAATGTTTTGTAATTTTTAGTGTAGAGGTCTTTTGATAAAATTATACCTAAGTATTTAATATTTTATAATGTTATTGTATATAGAGTGGTTTAAATTTTTATTTATTTGCTTCCAGAATATAAAAATACAATTGATTTTTGTATGTTAACTGTTATCTTACAAAAAACTATTCTAAATTAATATATTGGTTCTAATAGCTGTTTGAAGATTCTTTGAAATTTTATACTTAATAATGTCATCAGTAAATAAAGAATTTTATTTCTTCTTTCTTCATATGTATGCCCTTTTAAAAAAAAAAAAAAATTATTTCACTGGCTAGGATCTCCAGTGTAGTACTGATTAGATTTAATGTGAATATACATTCTGGTCTTGTTCCTGTTTTTAGGAAAAGAATATTCACTATTTCATCATTGGATATAATGTTAACTGTAGGTCATTTGTAGATTCCCTTTATCAGATTTTAAAAGCCTATTTTTATTTCTACTTTGCTAAAAATTTTTATCATTAACGAGTATTGAATTTTATTTAAAAATTTTTTGTATTTATTGAGATACAATTTCTCTCCTCCATTTTGTTAACATGGTGAATTACAGTGACTAACCTTTGAATGCTAAATAAACCTTACATTCCTGGTGTAAGCCTCACTTAGTTATAGTGTATTATTCTCTTTATATGTTTCTCTACTTTATTTGCTAATATATTGTTAAGGATCTTTGCATATATATTTATGTGAAATACTAACCTCTATTTTTCTTTTTGTTTTTTTTTTTTTTTAATTGCATATCTGTCAAGATTTGGTGACAAAGTTATTCTGGCCTAATGAAACAAGTTAGAAAACATTTCTTCCATATTTATTTTCTTAAAACTTTGTGTAAGATTAGTATTATTTCTTCTCTATTTGATACGATTCACCAGAGAAACCATTTGGACCTGAAGTTTTTTATTCATAAAGGTTTGTATTTCTTTAATAATTACAACCTATTTAATAGCTATAGTACTATTAAGATTTTCTATTTCTTCTTGTGTCTATTTTGGTTTCATTTTTCAAGGAGTTTGTCCATTTTATCTAAGTTTTTAACTTTTTGCCATAAGTTTGATCAGAATGTCCCTTAACTGACATTTAATGTCTGTAGTATGTTTCCCTATTCCCTTATTCTCAATTTTGATTACCTTGTTGTCTCTTTTTATTTATTGTTTTAGCTAGTGATTCGTCAACTTGTTGATGTTTACAAGCAATCAATATTTGTTTTCATTTGATTTTCTCTACTTGTATTTCCTCTATTTATGTTCTATTATTTATTATTTTATTTCTTCTTTAAGTTCTCTTCCTGCTTTAGCTTCTTAAGGCAGAGAATTTGATCAACAATTAAACATTTCTTTTGTTCTAATGTAAACACTTAAGCTTTAAGTTTCCTGCTCAGCACATCTTGGCTGTATCACACAAATTTTGATATGTTGCATTTTCATTTTTATTCAGTTTGAACTTTTATCTAATTACACTTTATATTTGTTGTTTGACCCATGTTTTACTTAGAATTGCATTGTTTAATTTCCAAGAATTTGGGACTTCACTAGATGTCTTATTGATACTAATTTCTAATTTAATGCCATCAGAACACATATTCTATAATATTTCAATATTTTGAAATTTATTGAGACTTACTTTGTGGCTCAGCATATTGTCTTTGTGAATAATTAATGTGTATTTGAAAAAGACATGCTGTGGTTGAATATAGTGCTCTATAACTATCGATTAGGTCAAGCTGTTTGATACTGTTAGTTAGATCTTCTACATTTTTCTGACTTTTTGTGTTATTTTAATCTCAAATAATGAGAGAGAAGTTTAAACATGTTTCAACACAATTGTGGATTTGTCTATTTCTCTCTGTAGTCCTGTCAGTGTTTGCTTTATCCTTTTTGAAGCTCTAGTATTAAATTCTTACATGTTTATAATTGCTGTGCCTACCTGATTTATTTACCCTTTTATAATTTTAGAATTATAAAATAATTTAAAATTACCTTTATTTCTCATAATACTTGCTTTGAAGTTCACCTGGACTGATATTAAAATAATCACTCTAGCTTTCATATGCTTTTAGTTTTCTTGATATGTTAGATCATTCTTGCATTGCTATAAATAAATACCTGAGGCTGGATAATTTATAAGAAAAGAGGTTTAGATGTAGGTGATGGGGAGGAAGGCAGCAAATCACACTGCCATGTGTGATCCTATGCAACAATTTTGCATGTTCTTCACATGTACCCCAAAACCTAAAATGCAATAAAATAAATAAATGGGGGAAATAAATAAATAAATAAATAAATAAATAAAAATAAAATAAAAAAAAAAAAGAAAAGAGGTTTAATTGGCTCA